CTGTACAAACTGTGAAGTCCACTGAGACAAATGTAACATTTGTGCTATTGGGCTATATAAATAAAGATTGATTGATTGATTGATTGATTGATGTTTGTATAATTTAGTTAACTCTGTGTGTTGCTGCTAGCATACATAACACCTGACGTAGAAACGTTACCCTTGGATGGGGCTACAGAGCTACTAGAAAGACAGTCGAACCCGGTGCATTCCTCCGTCTGAATGTGGTGCGCTTTTGCTAAATGTTTAGACAAATTGCTCGTGTTACCGCCCTTACATGCTAAACACTCTTGGCAAGGAGAGTTGTCCACCTCAAGACGGGTAACATTTAACCACACCTTGGAGCGCTTCTCTCCGCCATCTCCTCCGTGTGTTGCTGCATGTAGCAGCCGCGTGTGTGTAAACTGCCCCGCCCCCTCGCACACAGACGGGAGAGAGAGATCTGGTCTGGATTGGAAAGGTCGAAAATACACCGACCATAGACAATTTTTTTTGTCTTTTTGCATGTTAGAAACGAGTTGGCGACACTAAGACTGCGAGATAAGGTTTTTGTAGCAATAATACATGACCTTTCTCTTTCTAAACTCGCTACTCGGAGGGAAGTCGCTGTCATATGCCTTGTGAACACTCCGATAATGCCTCCACGTTACCTTTCTTTGGCAGAGGCTTGCTTTACAAATAAGGCAAATAACCTTTGAATGTGACATCACAAAAAAATATTCTTCCTCCCATTCTGGATGGAAGTGGTATGTCTTTAGCTTTTTGCTCGGTCCCGCACTCATTTTGTTGTTTGTCTCTTTAACTTAATTTGAGTTTTCCCGGCACTTGACTGATTTTGTATCGCTTTGCATTCTGGGTTAAAAGACTGGAAAGCGATAGGTCGGTTTTTCTGTCAATCAAGTAAACTCCTGAATTAAGTGGCAGGGAGGCCAAGGGAGGAGGGATCAAAACCTGTTTTGTCTATTTGTCTATATTTTTATGAATGACTCGCGATCTACCAGCATTGCCACGGTCGACGTACTGGACACCTCTGCTCTACATCATCCCCTTTCAAATTGCTCAAAGTTGACTTCACAAAGCCTCGACAATGGATCTCTTCGCTAACCGAATGGCAGAAGTCTTCAATGTCAACCTGGCCATCAAATTCAGGTGGTGGCTCTTGGAGGTCACTCACTGAAACACAAAAAGTTGTCTAACAGTTGGAATTGTAACTGACACCATAAGAGATTTGAAGAAATGAGCACTCACTTGTTATGCTGAAGACTCCCTTTTTATGCAAATACATAATCACCACAGGAGGATGATCTCCACAGTTGAGAAGTCATATGTATGTGATGACAGGGCTTCAAATGAAGGTACCCATGGAGTATGGAGTCACGGTCTGGATATTTTTGCTTGTTTGTCACTTGTAAAGCATCTACAACTCTTCCCACTGCTGTATGGTTCTACAAGTGGATGTGGAGGAAAAGCTGTTAGGTTGATGGAACAAAGGTTAACACAACATATCAAACTTGTAGTACCTGTATAGAGTTCCTGAGAAATAGGCAGAAATGATGTGTCAAAATGACTAGATCATTAAAATTATGCAGCCCCCTTGTCCACTCCTGGTATCGGTAAAATGTGCCACACAGAACACATGTTTTACAATATGTTGTAATACCTGAAAAAGGGATGGTGAACTTGTGTCAGTATCATGATGGTTACTGAATGACAAACCACATATTGGTCATTCATGGAACTAAACACTTCAGCAATAACTATTACTGTCATGAAATGCAACTTACCCTCCAAAATTCCAGCGACTGTGACAATCTTGGCTTTTTTAGAGATGGCAATCGGTTCAGAAAGAGGAACATTGCCTAGACACTTGTGGCAATAGTTCTCTTGTGGAACCAAGTGCCTCTGTTTTTCGCTTTCAATAACCCTGAACAATTTGTATTGATGATTGTTTTGACCTGGCTCAAAAGGCCACAACAAAGAGGATACACACCATATCAACGGTTAATAACATATGTTTATTTAAGCAAAGAATTTAAATTAACCAAATGAATGAAGTGCAACAATAAGTACTCAATAAAGACGTCAGTGGTATCAGTAGTGTAAATTCAGGGTGAGGGTTGCATGGACGTGTATGTGTGAGGGTGTTGAGGTGCACAAAGTAAAGCAGCTAAAGTAACAACAGCATACTCAACAAAACCGGGGGCCTGTAGGGAGAAGCAGAGAGAGACAGAGAGGCTTTAAATAGCTGCAGGGCACCAGACCCAGGTGCCCTGATTTACTGCAATAAGGCTGGACACAGCACAGCCACACCCTCTCCAGATGAACCCACAGGGGCATCACAATGATCATCACATTTAACCTTTTTTAATTTAAAAAGAAACTGCAACTACAGAGGACATATTGTTTATCCTGTGTCTTGTATTTTTTAACAATATGATTATGATTTGTTGATTACAGTGTACTCTTAACTTATTCTATATCTTATTGTCTGTCTACCATATAAACTATGGAGGTATGTACAGTTTATTGTTTGTTTATATATGCATATCGTTTTTTTCTTATAATAGTTTTAACTTTAGTGCAATGCCTTGTTTCTGCAGCTACAACAACATGTATAAGTAAATCTAATTTCATCTAAATAAACCTTCAATAATAAAGAGCAGACAGTATTCATCTTAAAGGTGGGGTAGGTAAGTTTGAGAAACCGGCTTGAGAAACACTTTGTTATATTCCATGGAACGCTCTTAACATCCCAATAGCAATGAATATCTGAAGTTATTATTTCTGCTTCCACCCTGATTCAACGGAGGTGAAAGGACTTCAATTTCCATTTAATAGAACACCAACAATGAAACACATGAGCCCGTACTAGTTTCAAAAAGCAGGAATAATCCTAAAATTCCATCTTAACTCTGAACTCCAAATGAGCTGTTTGTAATCTGCTGCAAAACACAAACAATACGCAGGAATGTGAGTCTGTTTCGAAGGCATTTTTCTTTTATATAGAAATTTATTTATTAGGATAAACCCCTTGAGATGCACCATCTTGTTTTCAAGGGGGGTCCCAACAGAAGCAACAACTTACAGACATACATGAACAAAACAGAAAGTAAAACATGACAAACCAGGAGAAACCACGTACAGTCTGTTAAGTAAAATTCATGAAGTAATACATACAATCATTACAATTTGATAGACAGTAGTGTCTAACAGATATAGATAACAAGAGCAGACCAGGTGAAAGTGAGATGATAATGCATGCTTAAACAAACCCAAAGATGCAAGGGATCTAATAGTAGCAGGTGTTTGGTTTGATAATATAAACAGAACAGAATAAAACTGAAAACATGGTAAATATTCTCCATATCAATAACTCATTGGTTCTTCTTTTAGACCAGAACAGACTGATAACTCAACAGGAACTATCAAAAACATCCCAATGGAAGTTTCAAGTCACAACATTTCATTAACCAAACAGATTATTAGAGAATCTACTCAGCAGATTAATCAGCCAGTGGTTATAGTATAAATCAGAAAAATAGAATGACAAAAACATTCAACATATTCAAAACTTCTGTTGATAAAGAAGGAGTTTTGATGAAGTCATATATGAATATTGTCAAACAGAGTTTACACAGCCAGACAGATTCTTTTCATGTGAATTGTTATAGGACTAATTAATTGTCTTCTTTTTTGTTGGACATACAGATTTGACTTGGAAAATGTCAGGTGTCCTCACTTTGAGTTTGATGAAGCTGTGAGGATACTCATGTGGTCTTTTACATTTCCTCTCCGTTTAACCCTTTTCTCACACAAAGAGCAGCCAAATGTTTTCTCTCCTGCACTACTTCTTGAATCACAGACAGGGTATGTTTTAGGTTTCTGACAGTTTGAACCTGGTTCTCTGGTCTCCTTCCAATCAGCCCTGTTTCCAGTGTCAGGTTCTGAAGGGTCTCCAGGGTTGTCCTCAGTCTCTGGTTGTAAATGTCTCTCTGGATCTGAGCTCCTGGCTGGTTCTGGTCGTCCACAGTCCTCTCCATAAGCTTCTGTTTCCATGTGTTCAGCTGAGCTGCTGGCTGGAGGCTCTGCCTCTCTGTTCTCCTCAGTTTGAGTTTGATGAAGCTCTGAGGATTGACGACCAACACACTTATGTCTTTTGACCTGTTGACTCCAGGTAAATCTTTTGTCACAAACACTGCAGCTGAATCGTTTCTCTCCTGTGTGGATTCTCATGTGTCTCTTTAAATATTGCTTTTGTGAAAAAGATTTCTTACAGACTGAGCAGCTGAATGGTTCCTCTCCTGCACTACGTCTTGAATCACTGACAGGGTCTTGTTTAGGTCTCTGAGAGTTTAAAACTGATTCTCTGGTCTTCTTCCAATCAGCCATGTCTTCAGTGTAAGTGTCAGTAGAATCTGCAGTGTCAGTTTCAGAAGAGTCGTCAGTTTCAGAAGAGTCTCCAGGGTTGTCCTCAGTCTCTGGTTGTAAATGTCTCTCTGGATCTGAGTTCCTGGCTGGTTCTGGTCCTCCACAGTCCTCTCCATCAGCTTCTGTTTCCAGGTGTTCAGTTTGTCTTTGATGAAGCTGAGAGGACTGAGGTTTCTCTTCATCATCTTCACTCTTCACAGGGACAGGAGTGAATGTGGACTTGGTGATATCAGCCTCCTCCAGCCCTTGAAGCTGCTCTCCCTCCTGACTGCTCCAGTGTTCCTCCTGTTCCTCTTTAATGTGTGGGGGGGGCTCTGGGTCCTCCCGGTCCAGAATGGAGCTCCAATCCTGCTGCTCAGGGGGAACCTCTTCTTTAACCACCACCAGCTGCTGGACGTCTGCAGGAAACAGGAAACACAAACAGAGACGTTACAGAGAACAGCTGTTGTGTTCATTACGTCACCGCTCAAAGCCCCGTTTTGAACCCCTTATTTGTAAATTCCTAATTAATATCATAAATACCTACACATTTTTATATTTATGCACCAACGTGTTATAAAGTGCTTTTTCAATGCATGGATACATTTCCCAGTAAAGACAACATACTAATACGAACCTGAAAATGAACAGAATATGTCACCCTTGTCGTTGTCCTCGATCTCTGGTTGTAAATGTCTCTCTGGATCTGAGATCCTGGCTGGTTCTGGTCCTCCACAGTCCTCTCTATCAGCTTCTGTTTCCAGGTG